TATATATAGAGAGAGAGAGAGCAATGATGATTCAAGTCCAAGTTTTCGAGGACGAAATGAAAGCGTGGGAGAGACAGAGGGACAGGAGGGGGAGGGGATGTTTCGAAGAGGTTCGCGCGACCCGCAAAGTTGCGGTTGTTGTCGCCGCTGGTCAACGCCAGTTTGGTCCTGGACCCTTCCGAAATGGACACGATGTTTGTTTGTTCCGGTCTCGGTGTCACAACACACCCACTACAGACCGCAGTAGGGTGCTAACTGCCATTGTATATATACCATTACCTGCGGAACCCCGCTGGCCGCGATCCAGCTATCTCTCACCTTTGTCGTCAGACACGGCCCGTGCCTACCGACTCCTACGAAGCGAAGATCGCGTCGTTCGATCGATTAACCACGTGTCGTTTTTCTCATTGATCGATCGATCGAGTTTCCCACCGTGGGAAATTCTCTTCTTTTTGTACTTTTCGCGTTTTTCTTTTTTTTTTTTTTTGTATTTCTTCTCTGAGTTGAATCTGTGAATCAATTGATGTACAGAATCGATCGTGATTGTAATTTGCAAAGAACGTGTTTTGTTGCATTTAATCTTGTTTAATGGAACTAGTTCATTACGATATAAACGAAAATAGTAATTAAGTTTATATGAATCTGTCGGGGGATAAATAATTTATCTGGTTAATTGAAATGGGATTTTTTCCTTTTTAACCAATTAGTGATTCTTCGTTCGTTATTAATTCAAATAAATGGAATTGTATTAAAAATATCTCAGTTTAGTTGTAACGAGATTGTAATTTGATGTCATCAATTTCGCAACTTGACGTAATAATTTTGTACATCTGCTGATTTTTATTTGATTTACTTGCAACGTGTGTTCTTCGTGATTTTCGTTTTGTGACATATTAATAGATGTAACGTCTTCGTGTGAGAACGCATTTCTCTCTCGTGAGATGGTAAATGAAATTAAAATATGGGCAGACGTAACAAACAAACAATTAAATATGCAAATGAAACGGGCGACTGCAAGTTGGATATATTCTTCGTGCAAATAAGTAAAATTAAAATATGTGTATAATATGACAAACAATTGAATGAATGAAATTTCAAATTAGAAGTAGGGCATTGTTCGTATAAATAAGTAAAATTAAAATATGCACGTGAATTAAACAAGTGGAATACGGATAATTACAAGTTGAAAGTAGAAATGAATAAAATCAAAATATACGTGTGACAAATAATCGAATAAGCAAAGCTTCGAATAAATGAAACTAAAATATGTATAAAATAGACAACTACAAGTTGAAAACAGGATACATTGTTTTGCAAAAATTGAAGATCAACAGGGGTGCCTGTTTACTAATATTTATTAGCGATAGTGAACCTAGAATTGACATTACTAGATCTCAAAGTTCCTTATATACCTAAACGAGGCATTTGCACTATAATTCTCGTGTCTAACAAAAGAGTACAATAAACGTCAGAAAAGCAGATCAGCACGTCGAACGAAACGCGCAATCGTAGTCACGGTCGTTGAATAATCGTATCATACAACGTAGTAACACATTAACATTCACATTGTCAGCGTTGTCTAATATATGCACGTCTAATATATACGTAAATTACTTTTCACGCGACGTTTCTTCGTATCGGCCTGTGAATGACGCGATACCGACGATAAAAATGAATACGTTTTCCAAGTCGTACGATGTCGCACTGTTTTTTCCTCTTCCTTATTATTCTTTTTCCGGCATAACAACAACCATATTTTTCACACTCGGGACCGGACGAAAATTTCTCTCTTTTTTTTATTCCTTGCAGTTTGTTGACGAAAGTCTGACGTAACGATTGAACGTCACTGAACGTCAGGAGAAAGGGAGAAAGAGAATCATCGTTGGTTCGTGCTGGAGGAAGGAATTTTATTTGCATCGGAGAGGAAATTTATTAGGCACGGGGTGGCACCCGGTCGCTAGTGTCTAGTCGCTTCTTGCGAGTTTCGGAACTCGTTGTCCGGCTGCGCAAACTTGGGGCTGAGACGCCTCTCTCGTGGGACTCGGGGCCGACCCTCGGACACGCATCATAAACGTTTTAAACGAAATTCGGGAAAATTTAAATCCGACGGGAAGAGGGTCTCCGCCGCATCGAGGAGGACGAAAGACACAGGGGGGAGAAGGAATCGCGGTTAGCGACGAATAGAGGCGACCTGCGGTTATCCGCTGGACACCGGAACTGGCCCGGGGGTTAGCGGCCGGCGATTTTAATTCCCGAGCCCGGCGACTCGTCGTCGACCCCTATTCTTTCGGATACACTTTTATACTGGACGTTCATCGATGCGAGACGAAACGAGGCGAAACTCGTATAAAATTCGGAATCGAACGTCCTGCTCTTGATCGAATGCCCGCGTAATTTTCTCTTCGTAATGTACGTACGTATTCTAGAGGGTGCTCGTTCGTGATTTGCTCCCTGAAATTTGTTCCGGCAACGTCGAACTCGTCGTTTGAGCGCGCGTGGCATTCTGGTGACTTTTTTTTTTTTCTAAAGATATCGCGTCGATTATAAGTCTACGATTGTAATTCGTGAATATAATTTAACTTGGGAGAGATTTTATGTGTTATGTGAAACAATTTGGAAT